AAGTTAACAATATAACCATATAATGTTCACTGTGAATGATGTGAATGTTCACATCTGTCAATGTCAATGTTCACACCTGTCATATAATGTTGTTGTTAACATTCACATCTGCCTATTATTTAAGTTAATAATATAAGCATATAATGTTGAGATGAACATTGACATCTATTGAACATGTAAATCAAATACTGTTCATGTGAACATTCTCATCAACATTAAACATAAACAAACCAAAAATGTAGTGGTTACCAAACATGTGCTTGTAAAAATGAATGCCGAATCCTCCAAACTTGGGTTGACTAGCCCTTGTAGTTCGAGTAGAATTTCACCATATGCATCTATCACCTGCACAAACAGAGGGGTGCCAGTACATTATTTACAGTGTCTTTACAGTGTGTATGTGTGTGTGTGTGTGTGTGTGTATGTGTTTTGTATACATTTACAATTGCCATACGTTGTTGTGTATTGATTCTTCCTTGATGATGTGTATGATGTCATCAAAATACACGTCTCTAGTCTATGAGTCCCCTTGTCACACAAGCAACTTGTGCATTGTGATTACAAAAAACGTTAATGTCAACATTGCACATTTATGAAATGATCTAATCTATTAAGTACATATTTGAAGCTTAACATCAGCATAAAAATAAATTCAGTCTGAATATGTATGATCACTTACTCATTGTCGCCGTTCTTGTGCAAATTTTGGACCTTATGCTTGTTGAGTTTGCTCACGTAGGCCTAAACCTTCAGTTTGTTGTTCAAGGTTAACTTCTTGTACTTTGTTGGGTGCTTTTTTTTTGGATGTTTGTCTAAATCTTGTATAATTTGGACTGCATGAGATTGCTCTTCAGCTCCCTCTTTCCCTTTCTTTTGACCAAGCAAGTTGGGGTATTCAAACTCATCCAACCAGTGCTCTTTCCTTACCTTCTGCTTGATGCACTTTACCCTTGATGGTAGACTGATAATGTGTTCCAATGCTGTAATGGGATGCTTCTTAAGGTTGTCATGAGCCTTTTGTGCTTCAACTTGAGTGATAATGTGGACGAACTGATCATCATAAAGGTTTTCAAGAATTGTTTTTTCACATTCCCGGTTGATGACCAATTTTGTCAACTGCTGAATTTCTGTATCTTTCCACTCCATGCAATTCTTGATGTCCATGTCCATATTGGATGGGCCCGATTGGTCAAATAATTTGGCTTTAAGGGCAGCAATCACCCTTGCCCTCAACTCCCACGATTCTTCTAACTGTTTGTATTTTGCTTCCCATTGTCGTACGAGACCCCAAGTTTTTTGGTTTTCTTTTATAAGTACATCTATAATGTCCGGCTCACTTGGTTGTGCTATGATGATACCTCTCTCAGCATTGGGGGTGTTAAAGCTGGTGTTGATGTCATGTTCAACATCATTTAGGTCCATTGCATAGCCATAAATTCTATCGCTGTTGTCACTGCCTTGATTGTCTTTGCTTTCATTATCATTGCTTTCATCTTACTTTGCTGGTGAACTCGACAAAATCTCAGGTTTGGGCTCCATATTCAATTTGGTATGATGGTACATCTTTGCTTCAGTTGGGGATGCTATTAGCTCACCGCCATATACCTGGAGTTGGAGACATTATGTTAGTTACATAGTTCCTTGTCTCTCTATGTGAATGGGCATAACATTTTTGGTTGTACTTCTACCTCATTTAAACCAAGCTGCGCCAAAGATATGGACTTCATGTTGGTATGTAAGGCTGCGAGGTCCCACTTCACACACCGTGGAATGGCATTAGGGTTAGGGGGTTGTAAGATTGTTGTATGCTCACATAACCAGTACTGAAACAAATAACAAACATCAATAATGTGAATGTTCACATCAATTAACACTGTTGTGAATGTTTACACTAGTGGCTAGTAATGTGTGTTTATCCATTACTGAACAATAATGTGAATGTTCACATCATTGATGTCAACTTCCACACCATTGCCTAGTAATGCGCGTTCCACATTTGTTTTGGTGCTAACATGAGGAAAACACTTGTGTCAATGTTTACATCAATACACATTGATGTGAACAACATAATATGACTGATTGAGAAATTAACAGTAGTGTGAACATTCACATTAATAAACACTGATGTGAATGTTTACACCAGTGTCTACTAATGTGTGTTTATCCATTATTGAACAGTAATGTAAATGTTCACATCACTAATGTCAACTTCCACACCATTGCCTAGTAATGTGTGTTCCACATATTTTTTTTGGTGCTAACATTAGCAAAACACTGGTGTCAATGTTTATATCAATACACATTGATGTGAATGTTCCTAACATTCCACACTGTCATGAACATTCACATCAGTGTGTACTTATGCCAACCTTGCCACCAATGCATACCAATGTGTATGCCACATTTGTTTTGCTGACAATATGAGTGGACAGACTCCGTAAATGTTCATATTAAATATAGAATAAGATTTATGAGATTAACCATTAACAACATAACACATTCGGTGACTCGTCCTGGTTTTCTCCAGTTTTGGCCCACTGACCTCATCAGGGTTGCTCGGATGCTCTCAGCCCAGTCATACTCGATCATGTTGTCTAATGTGTTTCAATTTCGACAAATTAAATCCTAGAGTTTCATCTGTGTTTCATTTGGCCCCTCCGTCCATCTCCATCATATTAAACTAATGGAAATCTAGGCAGAATTTCAGATTCAAACCCACATGTTCAAACACTTGTATCTCCTTCGTTGTAACTCCGTTTCACCTTATTTTTGCGTCGTTGGATTCACTTCATGGCCTAATTTTCATTCCACTTTTCATACGCCTTATTCTACATCTGTTTACTTGCCATTGGAACTCCAAACGTTGGCCAAAAATAAGATTTTTCTCTCTTTGGGCAAAATTTTTATATTCAAATCAATATATTCAAGCACTTGTTTCTCTCTCGTCTTAACTCCGTTTCACCTCATTTTCGTGTCGTTAGATTCAACTCATGGCCTAGTTTTTATTTCACTCCTCATATGCCTTGTTTTACCTCTTCTTGCATGCCGTCAAAGCTCTAAAAGTTGGCCAAAAATAAGATTTTTCTCTCTTTTATTTTCTTCTTTTTTCTTGCTATTATCGCAACAATATTCTTGGCAGTGGAGATGTAATGGATGATACTTGATTGGAAACCAAGGCCCTCTAACATGCTCACTAACCCATTTGGTTTTTGATTTTTATGTGTAGTTGTATACTATTACTACCCGATGACATCGCTACCATTACCGCCATCACATCATCTTGCAGATAATGATAATGAAGTAGTAGCAACAGTAGTAGCAAGCCAGGAGGAGGAACATCGGAGGAGGAGGAAGATGGGGGGGGAAAAAAGAAGAGAGAAAAAGCTTATTTTTGGCCAATTTTCGGAGATTCGACGGTATGCTAAAAGAGGTGAAACATGGTATATGAGGGGTGGAATAAAAACTAGGCTATGAGTTGAATCTAACGACGCAAAAATAAGGTGAAATGGAGTTACGATGAGAGAGATACAAGTGCTTGAATATGTGCATTTGAATATAAAAATTTTGCCTAAAGAGAAAAAAATCTTATTTTTTGCCGACTTTTGAAGTTTCGACGGCAAGTAAACAGATGTGGAATAAGGTGTATGAAGAGTGGAATGAAAATTAGGCCATGAGCTGAATTTAACGACATAAAAATGAGGCGAAATGGAGTTACGACGAGGGAGATACAAGTGTTTGAACACAGAGGAGGAGATACAACCCTAGATTTCAATTAGTTTAATATGACGGGAATGGACGGAGGGACTAAATTGAAACACAGATGAAATTCTAAGGTTTAATATGTTGAAATTAAAATTATAGAGTTTAAATTGAAAAACATGCGAAATCCTATGTTTTTTTTTTTTTTTTTTAATTAACCATTAAATTTTTTACTCCATAAAAAAAGAAGAAGAAAGTCTTAAATTTTTTCAGACTAGAGTGGGTTGCACTAGGGGTGGGCAATGGTTTATCCGAACCGCTCAAACCGCCCAATCCGCATATAAATGGGTGGTTTCGCAAACATAATGCGGGCGGATGCGGTTTGAAATATGACAAATTTGCGGGTTGCGGGTGGGTTGCGGGTTTAAACCGCAACCCGCAAAAACCGCCCGCACTTTAATTATTATTATTATTATTATTTTATTTTTTTTTATATGCCAACTTTGTAACTTTTACAGGAGCACCATTATATTCTCTATGACACTAGGATCCTTATTTTTAAGTATTTCTCAACTTTCTTAATGCCGTAGAATTATCAAGTCTTAAACTTGGTTTCTTATATGATTTTCATTGGTGATTCATCCACTTTTTCCTAATAAAATTTTTCTTCTAATGGTCGATGGAACTATAGTTTGATTATTGATTACTGAACTGGCAATTCTAATTGAGTACAACCTTTAATGCATTGATATACATTTTTTTCATGGCAAAAATGCTAGTGTAGGGTCTCTTTATTTTGGGTACTTTCATTTAATGCATTGATATTCAATTTTTATTTGTAAACTCATCAAAAAATTGTTATCACAAATATATAAAATGAATCTGATGCCTAAATTCGTTGGAAAAAAAAAACTCGAAAATTAATTTTTAAAGAAAAAAGTGTAAACTGCAAAATGCCCGCAAATTTGCAAACTCTATCCACACAAACCGCAAATCACACTGCGGGCGGTTGCGGGTTGACTTTTTCTCAAACTGCATAAATGCGGGCGGGTCAAAACCGAACCGCAAACCGCACAAAACCGATCCGCGAACACCCCTAGGTTGCACGGACTGCCCATGCCCCCAAGTTGTGTGTCAAGTGTCTCCTTACAAAAGCGGGTAGTTTCAGCAACCACACACCTACCTGAACATCTATCAAACCCATAGTTATGGTTATCTGCTTGTTTGTTTCTTAAATGTAAAAAGACCTAACTACCCTCAATCAAAACTCAAACAAACCGAGTCAAAGGACTCGCCCAAACAACGCACACACGAACAAACCCATTTCGATTTCACCCTCCTCCTCTCTCTCTAAAATACTGGACTCTCTCTCTCTCTCTGCTCCTTGAATTTGGAATTTCGGCAGTGGAGAAAACAAAAGCACAAAAGCTTCGAATTCATCATCCGATTCGACGTTAGGGTTCAGTCTCTGTGCTTCGTACCAACCAATTTGTTCGACCTTGTTTGATCAAAATTCGATTATGAAAGAAGAGTGTGATTAATATGGAAAATCTCAGCTTAGTTCGTGTTGGGCTTTGGGGTCGAATTTGAAGTTCCACTTCGGATCAAACTCTATTTTAAATCTCCTCACGGATCAATCTCATCTTCCTTATCTGGTAATCTCTTCGTCCTCTGTGTCTTTCTCTGTCTATATATATGTAGTTGTGTATATATATTTATAGGATTGATTTTGAATGTTTTTGAAGATAAGACAATTGGGATGTTGGGATGGGTCCATATTTCGATGATAACTTGATGGGGTTACAAATTCAACTTTGGAATGTAGGGTTTGGAAGGCAAAGAGGGAATCTATTAGTGTTGCTTTAGAAGTGGTTATATGTAGAGATATTTTAAATGAAAATGGTCAACTTGTAGTAGCTTTCTAGCCTCACTGTGTAACAAGTCGATTTCGAAGCAAACTGAGCAATAAAACTCTCTCTATATATGTTGATGCTATAAGGAGCTTCCTTGTTCCTCAAATGGTGGTTTCAAAGCTAGGATCATTGTTGAATCACTCTTTAACAGTCAACCAAGCAAAGCAAATCCAAGCAATCATACTTTTTAATGGACTTTACCATCTCGAACCCTTATTATCCATCAGGTCCTCATCTCTACTCCCCATTTCTCTCAAGTCACCACTCAATATGTCTGTCTGATTCTACACCCAATGCAAAACCCAGATGTTTTTTTCGTGGTCTTGCAGCATTAGATTTCTTTCCCAACACAGTCAGTTCAGAGAAGCTTTTTCTCTGTATGTCCAAATGCAGAGATTTGGATTGTGTCCAAGCTCTTTTGCCATATCTTCGTCTCTGAAGGCCTGTGTTAGGATTGGGTATGAGATTGGTGGGATTTCAATTCACGGTCAAGTTCACAAATTTGGGTTTTGTGGGGTTGTTTATGTGCAAACTGCTCTTGTGGATTTCTACTCTAAGTTAGGGAGTATGGGGGTTGCACGTAAGGTGTTTGATGAAATGGTTGAGAAAAATGTGGTTTCTTGGAATTCAATGCTATCCGGGTTTTTGAAATCAGGGGATTTAGCCATGGCTCATAGTGTGTTTGATGAGATGCCGGACAAGGATGTTGTTTCTTGGAATTCGATGATTTCGGGATATGGGAAAGAAGGGAATATGGAGCAAGCATGTGCTTTGTTTCGCTTGATGCCCGAAAGATATATAGCTTCTTGGAATGCAATGATTAGTGGATATGGAGATTGTGGAAAGATAGAATTAGCACGAAGTTTCTTTGATGCAATGCCTAGAAGAAACAATGTTTCTTGGATTACAATGATTAGTGGATACTCTAAAAGTGGTGATGTTGAGTCTGCTTGGGATGTATTTGACCAGATGGGTGAGAAAGATATACTCTTGTACAATTCAATAATAGCTTGTTATGCTCAAAATAGCCGATCAAAGGAGTCCCGTCAGCTATTCAACAAGATGCTTGAACGCAATGTAAATATTCAGACAGATAAAATGATGTTTGCTAGTGTTATATCCGCTTGTTCTCAACTGGGAGATCTGATATTGGTGTCTTGGATCGAGGCTTATATGAATCAACTTGGAATTGGAATGGATTACCATTTGGCTACTGCTTTAATCGACTTGTATGCTAAGTGTGGAATTGTTGACAAGGCATACAATCTGTTCAGGGTTCGCAAAAGAAGGATTGGGTTGCTTATACTGCAATGATTTTGGGATGTGGTATAAATGGTAGGGCAAGTGATGCCATCAAATTGTTTCAAGAGATGATGGATGCCCAAATTTATCCAAATTTGGTTACCTTCACTGGGATATTAACTGCCACATGTTGGTTTGGTTGAAGAAGGCTATAATTGCTTTGTCTCAATGCAGAAGCATGGACCTGTGCCTTCAGCTGACCATTATGGAATTATGGTTGATCTCTTAGGGTGGGCGGGGTGATTAGAAGAAGCATATGAGTTGATTAAAAGCATGCCATTGCAACCTCATGCTGGGGTTTGGGGAGCATTGCTGCTTGCTTGCAGTTTACATAATAATGTTGAGCTTGGGGAGATTGCAGCTAAGCATTACTTTGAGTTAGAGCCTGATACAACCGGTTATCGTTCCTTACTCGTCAGTATATATGCCTCTGTTGGGAGGTGGGATGATGCCAAGAGTTTGAGAAAGGATTTGCAGTAAAAGGGATTTACCAAGATTCCTGGTTGTAGTTGGATGGAACAGAGTTGAGTTGAATCAAAATGTGGCAAAGGCTGTAAATTATATTGCTTTGTTGGTTGGATAACAACTTCATACATTTATTCTTCATGTTGAAAGTTCTTTTTTTTTCTTTTTTCTTTTTCCCCTCTTTATTCACCTCAACAGATGGAGTGTCCATACAGTAAGAATTAAGAACTTCCCATCAACATATATAGAGTTTTATTGCTCAGTTAGCTTTTGCTACACAGTGAGGCTAGAGAGCTACAAGTTCACCATTTTCATTTAATAGAATGAAAAATTTATTAGGCCACTCGTTTCGAAGCTCTCTAGCTTTTAGCAATTGCAAACTCGTTGCAGCAGAAATGCGGATCAGTTCCTAAAATTTGATTAGGCGACTCATTTCTATTCATTGTTGTTTGTGTATTATTTTTGCTTTAGGAGTTTCGGCAATGCACCGTGTGGGCAGCGCAGGGAACACAGCCAATTCAGTTCGCCCTCGTAAGGAGAAGAGGTTGACTTATGTGTTGAATGATACTGATGACACAAAGGTGAGGCCTCCCCCCACTCTGATGTTAGTGCTTATTTTGATTCATTTTGTTTTAAATGGGCACTTTTCTAGCCAATTATCAACTTGACAATTATTTTAATAAATAATCAACTTGACATTGTTGTTATAAAGAAGGCATGATAATAGGAAAATATAAAGTGTATTTATACCACTACAAATTGGTTTGTTGTGAAATTTGTCATTTATGTTTCCTGAGATAATTGGTCAGTATTTTTGTTTGGTATGCTCTGATTGTGAGTTAACTTGGTTAACATAACTTCCACGTAACCCATCATTACCCACCTCATATGTTAATGCCTTTGTGAACTGTGCTTTATCATAATCCTTCGCTCTCTCTCTCTCCCCTTTTCATTTGATTTGCATTGTAGCTTGAAGAATTTGTTTGTTTACTACTGGTGCTACAATCAATCATGTCCACCAATACATGTTCTGTGCTGTGCTCTTTGTTTTCCATTAGTGATGAAGCTAAGCCAAATGTTCAATATTTGCGTTGCCGTCTATATCAATTCACCTATATATACATATATTATCATTAGCTTATGGTTATTACACTTTCTATGTCAAATTGTATGAACAATTAATTGCAACATTTGATGTTTAGAGCATTTGGCTGCTTCAGTCAATTATTATTAATAACTTTTCGTGCATGAAATTTAATATTTTTATGTTGATAAACTGTGTAAGGGCATAACATATGCTTGACTACTAATATACCTCTATTATCTGTGTCATGATGGAACTAAGTACCCTTTTTTGAATTTTGCCATTGCCTTGTATAACTTTGGTTGTATGTCGTCATATATGGATGGCAGATTTGTAAATTGATGATTAACAGAAGTTCTATTGTTCATTAGTGATGAGTTAGTTTATCACTTGCTTTTGCCATGATCACAAGTTAATTGAAAGTTAAACTGTAGTTGCACCAATGTGGAACTCAGAAACAAAGGAATGAAGAAAATGGAAAAAAGGTGATGTTGGACTTATTACTTTTTTTTACAATTAATGATATACATGCGTCATGTGTGCATCCATTTAGCATATGAGAAACTCTTCTCGCCATGCTTTCTTGTGCATTTTGGTTCTGCAAGACCAAAAGAATGTTCTTCATTGTTTTCCTCTAATATTGTTGATTTTACGATTTATAACTGTCAGGGATGAGCAATAGATTTCAACGTTACTTCATTTTGAAATGGTTTGCTATTTGCAGCATTGTGCAGGCATAAATTGTTTGGCTGTATTGAAATCATCACCAGCGGATGGGTGTGAATACCTCTTCACTGGGAGCCGTGATGGCACATTAAAGAGATGGGCGTTGGCTGAAGATGGAGCTACCTATTCTGCTACATTTGAGTCGCATGTTGATTGGGTACTTTCCAATTCGGGCACTTGGTTATAATTTGTAATCCACTTTTCTTGTTGGCATCTGGTTGAAGAATAACTTTTTCAACTACTTTTATTTGCCCCCCCTCCCCCCCCTTCTCTCTCTCTCTCTCTCTCTCTCTCGCGCGCGCGCGCGCGCGCTCTTCCTTTTATATTGACTACTTATTTATGAAAAATAAGTAGTTCAATGGTGACTCCTTATCTTCTTTTTCTTCTTCTTCTTCATCTTTTTAATAAATAAAACAATTCATTTAAGTTGCCAAAGGATTAGATATTAGGTTCCCCACAAAACTCACCAAAAGAGTGAATTAAAACCTAGGAGCTGCTTGCTTTACTTTGTAACACTCCTAACTCTGTCTCCCTTGCAAGTTGCAATTAGCCAAAACCTCAGAAGCTGACATAAAAAACTGACTGTGGCATAAGCCTCATGAGCCATCACACTAGAAACTCTTTTTTTCTTTTTTCTTTTGTTTTTTTCTATTTTAATCAATTGTTGATGAAGTCTTATTTGTGTCTCATTACTACTTGGTTGTGGTAATATGGAATAGCTAATTCAACTTGAACCTTGAGTTGGATGCCTGAACTGCTGACAGACTAACACCCTCTGAAAAACTTCAGTATTGAAATTGGAGATTGATATGAAACTATTTTAGTCCATACTATTTCCAACTTCTGAGGCATATGTACATATTTTAGCATTGATGTGAATTGAATGCATTGAGTTGTGCAGGTCAATGATGCTGTAATTGCGGGTGGTAATACACTAGTTTCCTGTTCCTCAGACACCACACTCAAGGTTTGTCAACATCATATACTGTTGTAAGTGTCATTATCCATCCATTATTTATGCCCCCATTTATTGATTTCATTTTATTTTTTTCCCATTGAGATCCACCAGACATGGAATTGCTTGTCTGATGGATCTTGTACCAGGACTCTTCGTCAACACTCAGACTATGTTACTTCTCTTGCTGCAGCCCAAAAAAATGTAATTTCTCTATAAATATTGTCATGGACCTTATTTACTGCATGGATGAAAGGTTCTGTTCAGTTTAATCCTGCTATTCAAGTTTTGTGTTTTTTATAGTGCGAGTGGTGCTTGGAGGCATAATGTTATGTTTTTATGCCACAAGTTTCTGATCCTTTTATGAATTATAGAGCAATGTTGTTGCATCTGGTGGCCTTGGTGGGGAGGTTTTCATATGGGATCTAGAAGCTGCAGTTGCTCCAACCTCTAAGACAAGTGATGCAACAGAAGATGATTGTTCAAATGGTGTTAATGGAGTGGGAAATTCTGTACCCATTACTAGCGCTCGTACGATTAGCTCAAACAACAGCATATCGCTGCATATGACTCAATCTCATGGATATGTTCCCATTGCTGCCAAAGGACACAAGGAGTCTGTCTATGCTTTGGGAATGAATGATAGTGGGACTCTTCTTGTTTCTGGTGGAACGGAGAAGGTATATTCTGATGGTTAGTTTACTTTTTATCTTTCAGGTTTTTTGGGTTCCTGAAACAGCGATGGAATGATTGAAAAATGTGTTTGTTCCTATGTTTTATTGCAATGTAATGTTTTGTGTATTCTTGCAGTTGCGGTTTATTATTATGATCGAATTCAATTCCCCTTGCAATGTTTGATTTTATGTAGGTTGTGCGTGTTTGGGACCCAAGAACTGGTTCTAAGACCATGAAACTTAGAGGGCATACAGATAATGTTAGGGCTCTGCTTTTGGATTCTACTGGCAGGTTGGTTGCACTGAGCTGCATTGTATGGCAGTAACGTCTTAATTGGTTGTTTACTTAACTATGAGTTGATTTTGATCTTTATCCTGCTTCTGAAGAGAAACTTAATGGCTGGTTGCACAAGTTGCGTATTGAGCTGATATTTTCCAGGAGTATGGGCCTAGATTAAGTTGGATGCTTAGGTATAGAAAAATAACAAATCAGTACTTAGGAATCAATGACTGGACATTGAAAAGCTAGACACGTCGTCATTATCTATTGTGTAGTGTTCTGCCAACCCAAATTATACCCCTAGTGATGCTCTAAAGTAAACTAATTTATGTAAATGCATATCTTTGCATGTGCTTGAAAGATATATTTTTCCTTGGTACATGTTTAAGTTCAATGCATCTCCTTGCTTGTTCACTAAAGTTTCTTTTGTTTAATAATCTCTTGCAATTGATTTTCTAGTTCATCAGTCTCTCCCAGGGTTTTAAATATTAGCCGTTAAGTATCATATCGCTCATTATGTATTGGTATTTCAGACCTCTAATGTTGTTATTCATCAATATATCGGCCGATTCTATCTGATATTGACTGATTTAAATCGATGGAATCCTGTGTAGGATAGACAATGTAGTAGTAAATTGTAGAATGATGTAAGTAACTAATTTGGGGACAAGAGAAATATTTTTCAGTAATTTATAAAATTAATAAAAATTGAATTGTCAAATAAAGGGACAACATGAAATAAAGAAACCACAAAATCAGAATGGAGGTTTGGAGTTTATAAAAGGCACAGCACTCATTGACTTACTTGATTGCATTCTTTAGCATTCATTTCTTATTCTGATGGTGCTTAACTGATTCTATTTGTTATTGAAGCACCATCTAGATATTGAAAGTTATTTTTAAGAAGATTCCTTTCTTAATGAAATGGTCATCTGCACCAACTGTTTTTCATTGGTATCATTCTTCTTTGATGTGTGTGCTTTGTTTTCTTTGCTTTCCCCACACAAACTGCCCCTCTCCCCTCCAACCAGAAAAACAAAGAGAGAAGCAGTTACAATTAGTGATTGCGATAAGTTAGATTAAAAAAAGATCATATTATCGCTTATAGTTTTCAGCAGCACAATGTCTCCCGCAAAGTTTAAATTCCAAAAACCTGCTGGATGCTTGAAATGTATTCCAAATTTGTGTGGTTGCATCTTTCTAGACCGAATCAGCTGTCTTTTCATTCTATTTTAATGGCTCATCCTGATGTGTAATATTACCACACTACATATATAATGTTTTTGGTCCCGCAAGTTAGTAATAATGGTTTCAACTTTTATGATTGCAGGCTATGCTTATCTGGATCCTCGGATTCTATGATCAGGTTGATTTCAGATTCCAATTTTTTTTTTTTTTTTTTTTTTGATGAGCAAGAATTATGTTAATGCTAAGAAAAGGATAAAAGGAGTACAATGGGGGCCAGGAAGTGTTCGCAAAGAAAGGAAAGGAAAACATTAAACAGCAAAATTAAATCACATACTCCAATCTCTATGAATTAAGAACAAATGATGAAGCCCTATAATAAAGTAATTTGTTATATTTGACATGCTAATTTTTGTTTAATGCAAATTTCTATCTTATAGTGTGCCCTGTTCTGCTCAGACGTAGTAATAGGCTCAACTTCCAATGGAAACATAAGAGTCAAATCATCCTTGGATTTGGATCCAATAGGATCCTGTTTGATCAAATTGGTTTCTGTGGTTAGACTGGTGGATTCCTATTATTTTCCATTTCAAGTGTGGTCATTAAGAAACTTCTCTGTTTTCATTAATATCTTTTTTGTTTTCATTAAGAACATTATATACCTAATATAATGACCCAATAACGTAGTTGGACTTATTTTTAACTCATAGGCCATCAGCGTTCTCTGTTTTCATTAATATCTTTTTTGTTTTCATTAAGAACATTATGTACCTAATATAATGACCCAATAACTTAATTTGACTGATTTTTACCTCATAGGCCGTCATCATAGCCATCTTATAGCAAAGTCAAGCTAACCAAAATATCTTTTACTTCTAAAACATAAGAAAACATTGGTAAAACTATACCAGTAACTTACTCTTTATATGAAATGTAATTAAATCTTGGATTGACCCAAAGCTTCATTAGATGAGGCCTAAATGTGCACCATGCAAGATCATGATTCTCCCTTTTCATAATTCATTTGCTCTACATCATTCAAAAGAACTCAACCATGAGTTTTGTAATGTAGTAGTATAAGAACAACTTGTAATGTTCGGAGGCATGCACTCTTAAAATTGATAACACAACTGCATTTCTCAAAATAGTAATCATTTTTATTTGAGAAATGCCAATATTACCCCAGATAGGAAGCATTGGACTTCAATTTGACTTTGAAAAGGAAATTATTTCTGCTCGTCACATTCTGAAACATTCATATCATTAGATTAGCACTATGTTTACCCTTCTATGTGGTGACCTCTCTGAAAGTTCTCTCTCTCTCTCTCTCTCTCTCTCTCTCATGTATGGTCTAAAGTCTTACTGAAGATATGGATGAAGACTTGGGATGTCTGTCATGCCACTTATGCATCTAAAAATACTACAATGAACACAAATTGAGTAATTTTTTTTCTTTCCTTTTAATTAATACTCTTTTTCGTAAGTGATCAGTTCTCCTTTTTTAATAGACTATGGGATCTCGGTCAGCAGCGTTGTGTGCATTCCTATGCAGTGCATACAGATTCTGTTTGGGCACTGGCCAGTAATTCAACGTTCAGTCATGTTTATAGTGGTGGGAGAGACCTTTCTGTGAGTCCAGTTCTATTACTCGAACCAATTCAAATAGTCCCTGAGTTTCTGTCATATTTTCTTTTGAACATCTCTTGCTATTTACTTTCATACTCATCTCTTTGATGCCCAATTCTGTTTATTCTTCCAGTTGTACTTAACAGACTTGGCAACGAGAGAGAGCATATTGCTTTGCACAAAGGAACATCCTATTTTGCAGTTGGCATTGCATGATGATGGTATATGGGTAGCAACAAGTGATTCTTCTGTAGATAAATGGCCAGTTGAAGTTCGTAATCCTCAGAAGGTCTTTCAAAGAGGTGGTTCATTTTTGGCTGGTAACTTGTCATTTTCAAGGGCACGGGCTTCCTTAGAAGGATCCACCCCTGTAAGTGATGGTCTTTTCTTGTCTGTTTCACAGTTTTTACCTTTTAGTAATAGATTTTGTGTTTTAATTGTCTCTGTAAAGTATTTGTGGGATGCTGCATTGATCACTTAAACATAATTGTAAGTATATTCTACTTTTCATTTCTGATATTCAGATTTAGTTTTTCAAGAATGTTTGGTTATTGAAGATTTAATTATCCCCTCTCACTCTTGCCTCCCCTATTCCCAACCCCATCCCACTCGTAGAAAGGGCAAAAACAAATTGTTTTTGAATGGTAGATTGGTTGAAACTTTTATCGAATCATATGAATCAAATCATGAATCACAAGATTCCAACCTATGTTACCTAGAATGTTAATCGTTCCGGTACATGGAACGGGAATGGGATCGTGGTACGCCATATGCTCTAAAATGTGATATGATAGGAGTAGACTTATATATATTACACTTAAGAATTTAAGGTACTTCTAGAGTAATTTTCTTTTAACTATTAGGTATCATTTTTTTTTTCATGTAACAAATCATTTCTATGAAAATTATGACCCATTTTTGATTTTTTTTTCACTCGTCAAAACTTAACTCACCTTGGATTTTAGTTTATATACTCGGTTTTTTTTTCTCCTAAGGTAACATTTAAAGAAATATATTGGAAAAAACTGTTGGTATCACTTCGGATCACTAAATTTATCGATTTGGAACGAAAGTGTTCCATGTTTCGAAACGTGTGTACCAATATGTCAATCGTTAAGGTATTAGCGTTTTCTGGTAACATAGATTCCAACACCCCATGCTCTAATGTTAGACAAGAAATGATACATCTTAATTTCAAGATAGGTCAGATAGTATTAAAAAAGTATGTGATGCTTATTCAAATTTAAAGAAAATTGATTTCTAATTGTGGTCACATTTAGGAAGTTTCAGATACGTATCTGCAAGTACTCAAAAAGTATGGATATGGCTTCCTTATAGAAATACTGGTGGTAATTTTCTATTTTCATATTCAAGGTTAGGAGTTTTAAATATACGCCATGAATGATCCGAGATGATTAGTTGAATTATTTTATTAATACTACAAGATTGTTAGTACAATGTGGAATATGTCTGCAAGTCGACATATGTTTATGAAACTGACTGTCATTTGTGTTTGAGAATGTGTATCCCTCATAAATCGTAGTCTTGCTTTTTAAATAAATTTGACCCTTCCTACAAATGGATAAAATCATCATTGCAAAGTGTTGTTGCTGGATAATAATTCCATTCAGCCTATAGGGAGCCATCTTTAGTTTGGTCATGCAATTCATATATCTTCACTAGTTATGTCCTTTTTTTTTTTTGGGTCTTCTCTTGTCTTGGTTAGTTGGCCGTCAAATCTCTGGTTTAGGAAATATTTGAAAATATCAAAAAAAGACATAAAATCAATTAGTTATTGTTGTCTATGTGAAAAAATTGTGCATACATTACATGTGTGTGTATGTATGTCTTTTTGCTGACTTGTCAGAATAGTCTACTTGATGTCTCATGGATTATGATATATCAGTGTATGTATGTCTTTTTGCTGACTTGTCAGAATAGTCTACTTGATGTCTCATGGATTATGATATATCAGTTAGAGTGTCAAGGTTGTGAAATGATATTGCAGAATGAGCAGGAGTGGAATGTGCCTAATAAATTCTTGAGACAATACTCTTAACCAGGCTTACAAGAAGCAAAGCCTAACTTTCCAATGAATAACATTGGATAAATTCAGTGCTGAAATCGAATCAGTTTGAACTATCTAGAATTCTTTTTGTTGTAGTGATTTTGATTTTTGGTCATGAACAAACTCTTGTTTGTCTCATGCAAAATCTTGGCAATCTGGAGTTAGTTTTAATGTATTTTGTTCTTCTATCTTTTTCCCTTTCTTTTAAATGTTGGAAAACTTAAGTGCTGATAGTTTTACAATGTTGTAGGTTCCTGTTTATAAAGAGCCATCCGTTACCATTCCTGGCACTCCAGGAATAGTGAAGCATGAAATTTTAAATAATAGAAGGCATGTCCTAACTAAGGTAATTCTGATGCTTTGCCATATGTTTTATTCATGAAAGACTTTTATCAACACCAACTGGTTCTTTGGAGTATGAAGTGTTTGTCATGGTGAACATGATCTGTAAATCACATGTGACTACTTTGTATTTGATAGGATACTGCTGGATCAGTAAAGCTGTGGGAGATCACCAAGGGCATTGTGGTTGAAGACTATGGAGAGGTTGCAAATGTGTTAAATTTTCTTTTGTAGTTCATATCTGATTTCACCATGTTAATTACCTGGTTGGGGGAAATGGTGGGGGTATTCATGTTGTATTGTCACGTGGTGTTTTATTAGAAATATGTTTCTTTTGGCTCTATATAGTAATTTGTTGCTAAACAAATTTGTTGTTTTCTTTTTAGGTCTCATTTGAGGAGAAAAAGGAAGAATTGTTTGAGATGGTATGGATTGCTAACTCACACTGCATTGTATCTTAAGTAGCCAAGAATCTGGTGGATTTTGCTTTTGACTGACTTCAATTCTTCAGGTAAGCATTCCTGTCCTGCATGGTTCACTGTGGATACAAGGCTTGGAAGCTTGTCTGTCCATTTGGATACACCACAATGCTTTTCTGCAGAAATGTATTCGGCAGACCTTAACATCATTGGGAAACCTGAGGATGACAAGGTACACATCTGTTTTTTTGTTTTCGTTTGTTGCCTCAACCCTACAGCAGATGCTATTATCTGCTGTTACATTTCTCTAAGCCTCATTTTTCATATCATAAAACTTAATTTTGAGATTTATGGCACCTCTGAAAAGGTGTCTTGACGAGGTGATTCTTCAATGAGGCAAAGTTTAAGCTTCAAAGATGTTAGAATTTTATAAATTGTAGAGCTTATACAAACTAAATGTGCAAATATAAAATGCAAAATTTAAATACAACGGATGGAAGATATTTGAGAAAAAAGATTAAGATATGAAAGTGTCATTAAATTCAATCAAATTTGTTCCTCCAGTCATTTAATGTAGGCCAATCTAAATTTGACAACAAACTGTTGAGAATCTTTACACTTAGTTAAAAATGTGGCTTGTGTATGTGTTTGCAATTCTGTAAGGTAAGCTTCAAAGAGGTGTTTGTCCCTCAAACTGGGGCACGCCTCAGCATCTCTAGCCTCAAAGTTCCTTTAAAAACTGCAGTTAACCAATGTATGTCTGGTGTAAAAGAATTGAGCTGTTGCAGATGTTTGAAGACCATAATAGGTAGACAAAGTTCCATGTTCTTTCTGTTCTCCCTTTTGTGTTTATTTTTGTGCTTTCTTGTTAAAAAAAAATGCAGGGAACCTTGACTTTCAATAACATAAAGGGGTTGTCTGCAAAATCTGGACTTTCTGTAGGTTTATTAGTATCAGATTCATTTATTGCATTGACCTTATGTAATTCTGCAGATTAATTTGGCTCGTGAAACTCTTAAAGGGCTGTTGGCTCATTGGTTAACCAAAAGAAGGCAGAGATTTGGATCTCAAGCTTCAGCCAATGGAGAAGTTCCATCTGGCAAGGATATCTCTTCTAGGATTCTTACCCTTTCAAGAGTCGAGGTAGATGGTAGTGCTGAAAATGATTCCATGGTTTATACGCCTTTTGAATTTTCTACAGCTTCCCCTCCTTCGATTATTACTGAGGGTTCTCAAGGTGGTCCATGGAGAAAGAAAATTACTGACTTTGATGGAACTGAAGATGAGAAAGATTTTCCTTGGTGGTGTCTGGATTGTGTGTTGAATAATCGCTTACCTCCCCGGGAAAATACCAAGTAATTATTTGGTGTTATTGCTCTTTATTTACATAATTTGCCTTTGGCCTGTAAAAAATTTGGCACATGAGGAACTCACAGTATCTGTTGGCTCTCTTACACACTTGAAAGATGTGTACTTCATGCACTGAATCTCTTGAAAATTGTCTCTCTTCACCCTCCATTTCTCTTATGCTTTATTTGGTTCACTGGAATGAGAGGCTATGGAATGATCATTCCCTTACAATGGTGAATGATGATTCCATTTGTATTGTATTTTTCATTATTTTTTTTAGTCAACCAAATATGTGAATGAATATTTTGATGGAATTATCATTCCATTCCATCCCATTCTAGTGAACTAAACACTACCTTACAACTTATGAAAGGTTGTCACTTTTCGAGACTTGCAAAACCTTTCTCGAAGGCATTCACATGGTTTTCCTTGAATCATGAAGTTGTGAGGGAAGATTTAGAAGTATTGTAATTAGATAGCCCCCCTAGCCCTCTGCCCCATCCTTTCCTGTATCCAAAAACCTACCATCCAAAAAAGAAGAGGGAGAGGGAGAGCGAGAGAGTCTAATAAACCGTTCCACATGAACCTAATTTTTTTTTTTGTTTGTTTCTGCTCTTATGGTTGCCTTCCATTACTTCCCTGCTTTCCCCTCTTCGGTGTTGTACTGTTGTTTGCATGGTTCAGTGGACACAATTAGCTTTCCTTAAGTACAGAGAAGTAAAACTTCTTAATAAAGTAATTCTCAGCAGACTGCTAAAAGCATTTAGTTACTATCTACTTTTTGAACTGACCAGTTTTAGTATGATCTTCATCTGAATTTATTCTAATTTCTGCAGATGCAGCTTTTATTTACATCCATGTGAGGGCTCAGCTGTCCAGATTCTTACGCAAGGGAAACTGAGTGCACCTCGTATATTGAGAATACATAAAGTAAGATTTTATTTGATTTTGTTGGTAGTTTGATAAATTTTAAAGCTTTGTGCTTCATCTTGGGTTTGGTTGGTAGTTTCATAAATTTTAAAGCTTCGTGCTTCGTGGAATAATGCACCTGTAGAAAGAGATACCACCGCTAGTTATTATTCGTTCAATATTGACCACCAACTTATATTGGTTTGTTTTCCTACTAGAGGTCCCAGTTTCGAATTATTGTGAATTTGATCTCTATTGAGGCCTAATTTTGGAGTCCAGTTCTGTGCTGGTGTTGGGTTTCAGTTTGTTGTGTAACTTTTAAGCATTAATTTTTATTCTCTCTTGTTAATAAGAAAGATGCAGAGCAAACATTTGTCTGAACAAGTTCTTATTTATTTAATTTTTTTTTGTAGGTTATTAACTATGTTGTAGAAAAGATGGTTCCTGACAAACCATTGGATAACATGGACACTGATGGAACCTTTGCTCCTGGACTGCCAGTAGGGCAGTTACAACATTCAACTCTTGGAGGAGATGGTTCGTTTCGGTTGAAGCCTTGGCAAAAGCTTAAGCCTTCTATAGAGATCTTGTGTAACAATCAGGTAAGTGAATATATTATAATGGATGTGAAAATATGAATGATGGCCTTCTGCTAATATTTAAGGAGCATTTTACGTGTTACAGTCTTTCAAATCATGGTGCCTTTTAACTCTTTAAATGGTGAAAAATATGCCACTCTAGTAAGCAGCCTTGTACAACGTGAACAAGTCAAACCCTGGCACAACTTCTTCTTGGTTGGTAATGGAAACATCTATTCTAAGTCACCCATTACTTGGGCTAGGAAACTTGCTTGAGAGGAAATATGGTAGCAAGGAGCATGAGTGTAGCATGTGCCACATGTTTAGCAATGGAAATGCAGTCACCCATTCATTTGAGTAATTTGATGCTTAGTTTTTTCAAATGAGGCCCCTAATACAGGTACTTTACAATGGCTCCGTTTGGAAAAACTTAAAGTTAGCTTTTAAGATTATGGCTTTTTAGATTATTGGTTTAAAATGCTTCCAATAAGTTGTAAAAGTATTTGGTGCAACTTTTTGGATAATGTGTGAAAAGCTAAAAGTGTTTGATAAATAATCCAAAAAATAATTTTTGGCTATGTAAAGTCTAAAATGCTCAAAGCTTTTTTGAACCTAACTACATTTTAAAAGGGATATGCCCATAATTATGAAAATATTGAGGGCCTGTTTGTCCAACCCCAAAAGCTAAAGAAGTTGAGTTGGAAAAACACCCCTTGTGTAGCTTAGCAAAAGCTAGTTTTTTGCTAAAGTATGTTGATTAAGCTATACAAGTTGAATCCAATAAGCTAAATACCAAAAGACCTTCCAATAGCTTTTTTGAAGCTATAATCCTACGTTGCACGGACTCTTTGGTTTTTGGGAGGTACCTGTGTCAACACGACATGACACGATACGGATATGGATATGGGTACGGGTACAGTTGTGGGATACTGCCGGGACTCTGGACTTTGCAAATCGATAGAGCAGAGCCCTAAATGTAGAAGAGAAAGAGAAGAGAGCAAGAGAACCTGGTCGCCAAAAGGGTGAAGACCATCAATCACTTCTTCTCTCTCTACCGATCTCCTCTTCGACTTCCCCTTCGAGTTTGACGGGTCTTGTCTCATCTCCACTTCTTCCCCCTCTCTCTCTCTCTCTCTCTCTATCGATCTATCTCTTCTTTTTCTTTTTCTCTTTTTCTTTGTGGATTTGTTTACTCTCTCTCTCTCTAACAGATAAAAAATAAAATAAAAAACCCTGATAAAATAATCTATTTTATATATAATAATAAATAAAATAAATCATCTATTTTAAAAAAGTAAAAAAATCTATAAAATAAATCATCTAAATTTTTTAAAAATATTTCCTTTAACATAATTTGTTATTCCTTATTATGTTATACTTTTTTTTATTTTATTTATAATATATATAGATGTCAATTAAAAATAAAAAATATATATAGATAAATTAATAATATTATTAAGAGAAATTATTGGGTGTGGTACTTTTGGTTTGAGAAAAAATTATAATAGAACCGCCATGTTATCAAAAAGATATATAATATTTTTTTGACACATCCATGTCTAACCGTATCCATGTACTCATGTCTAATTTTTGGGTACTTTTTAGCCGTATTCGCGTATCCCTCATTTAGAAATTTGTCGAGTCGGACCTCGAGATACATATTTGCACCCGACACTCGTACCCAAGTCCATATAATGTAGCTGTAATTCAAATAATCCAATTTAAAAGCTTTGCCAAACGATCACAATGTCTTTTTTTGCCGCATGCTTTTATTATTGCAACATGTTCATGTATGGTTTACATGTATGGCTCGTATGTTGCATTGTGGAAGTCTCTTCCTCACCTCTTTTTCCCCCTTCCATTTCCTTCATTCTTATTGATACGTGAATAAAGAGGATTACATAAATATTAAGAACATCTACATGCATTTCTTCATCTATCTTGAGTTCTCGTGTTTGTCATTATTGGTTATTTGTTTGCCTGAAAAATTTCACATCTATGAGATGAACGACAATTAACAATGTCTACACATTTTGACTTGCTCTTCTTTGGTGGAGTTCTCTTGCACTCTAGCTTGCCCTTTATTTTACATTTTTAATATTCATGCCAATACCATGTTTAAACTTTTTCTTTTTTTTGGGTGTGGCTTGTGTCCAGTCCGTAATCGGACTGGATTGTGCTGTTGGGCCCTGTGGGCCCACCATGGAGCTCGTATCGATAATCTAATCCGTTCAATATGTAGGGCTCGTTGAATACTTTCATCCTTACAAAAAATCACATTGATCGGATATTGATAGCCACTTGATCAGATCATATTTTTGTCAACGTTCAGTATGATTTTAAAAAAAAGGTAAGTGTTAGGATGTGCAAGGTGCATATGCTATGCACTTGCATGAGTTCTCACAAATATACATAAGTTACTTCACAAAATCGCGTAAGTTCTCACAAATATACTTAAGTTGTGATTTATTAATTTTTTATGGATTAACTTACGTACCTTTGTGAAAATTTACTTAACTTTGTGAGATAATTTACGTATATTTGTGAGAACTTACGCAAGTGCATATGGTATGCACTTGCACACTTAAGAATTGCCCTAAAAAAAATTAACAGAAATGCAACATGACAAGTAGTAATCGATATTCAATCAATGTGATTTTTGTAAGGATGAAGTACTCGACGAGCCCTATACATTGAATGATTCGGATCATCAATATGGGCTCCGTAGTGGGCCCACGGAGGCCCAACAGTACGATCTAGTCCGAAACCGGACTCGAGATGAGCCTTGCCCCTTTTTTTATTATTTATTATTTATTATTTCATTCTCTCACTTTGGAGATATCATGAACTGTCTGGTCCATTTATGAGATTTTCCTTTGAGTTCGAAATCCATTACCATGTGGATTTAGTGACTTCTGATTCTTTTCCAGATCTTATCCCCTGACATGAGCCTAGCAACAGTACGGGCTTATATATGGAAGAAATCAGAGGATCTTGTCCTCAACTACCGAGTGGTGCAGGGCAGGTGACATCATGGACATCCGGGTGGTGAGTACTGGCTTACTTTCATGTATGTAGTATATTTTTTTGCCTCTTTTTTTTTTTTTTTTTTTTCTCTGTTGGTTTATTCTTATAAACAATTTTGTGGCCTTGAGTTCATGTCGGTATACTATATCTGTTGCATTTCAACAAGTCTTGAGTTTCTCCTCACTATTTTTAGTGTCAATGCTGACATGGAATGTAATTCTTCTTCATTTTCTTCCAAGTGATTTTTTCAAAAGGAATAGACCAATTACAAGCATCCATAATGGCAATAATACAGTGACACAACACTGGAAAAGGGACATTCTCATTTTGTGTGAATTTTGTCAAAATTCTGCTATTGGCCTGTGGTTTCCAAATCATGTATTCTAGTATTCTCTCATGTTTGTTAATATTGCGACTTTTAGATTTGTATACCTAAGCCAAATATTGAAGAGATGGGATAAACCTAGCAGTGTATTGTCAAGTTGACTTGGCTGAGTCAAAGCTTAAAAGTTCGTTTAAAACATAAATTCCAATCTTTGTAGTTAGCACTAGTAGTAATTATAAGCTAAGTAGCACAAACACAGACACAAACACTGACATGCCAATTTTTAAAAAAATACAAGACACAACACTAAGTAATATATATATATATATATTGCATAACTTAAATATCAAAATATCATTCACATAACAATTGCATTCTAGAATGCAAAACAATTGTAGAACACTAAAATACTCGTGATTTATTCATTTTATAAATGTATTTCAAAACATATTTGGAGTGCACAAGTAGCATTATGAAGAATGGAAAATATTACTACCATTATTATGAAAAGATTCATCACATAGGTTGTGTTTGGAGGGTTCAAGTGTCCAAGCAGTGTATAAAATATCTGATATTATGAGCTTAAATTTTTTAGTTAAGACACACTGATGAAGTGTTGGGCACGATTTTAGGAATATTCATGGAGTGTCAGTGTTCACCATGACACGCCGCCCCCATAGACTTGTCCATGCTGCTTATATTATAAGCAGTGAACTATCATCTGTTTTTTTTGTTCTCAACGTTTGTACGATTGAACTCAGGCCTATGGTAATGTATATTTTGTTTTGTGCTTGTGTAGAAAACTTGGAGTTCTTCTAACTGGTGCTTGTGTTGAGCAGATTTATTTGCAGCTTCCTTGTAAATCTCGATAGCCAATGTCAATTACCGACTTGTGTAGCAGCATTCCCAAATTTGCCATGAATCCTGGGTAGCAATTTCCTAGTTGAACAATTGGTATAGGAATTTTGAGCTGTTTAGCCAACGTGCACGCTTTACAACACATGATTAAGATATTGTGGGGCTGAGTTTGCACATGGCAATAGAAGGTTTTTGACTCCGAAGGTGAAGGAGAATTACTGCCAAGTACCGAGCTTCCTGAGGCGAGCCGTAGTATAGTTTTGGGTTTAAAAAAAAAAAAAAAATTGTATCGTGGGGTACAGCACCTAGCGAAAACCACACTGCTACGGGGGTGATTAATTTTTCCCGGGAAATAATACATACAATTATGATTCGTGTCCACCTAGTTTGTTTTATAGAAATATTTTGTTTCTTATTTTCAATGCTCTCTTCTGTACATGTTGTTTATCTTATGAGAGGTCCAACTAATTGAAGACTGTTGTTGCTGCAAGGCATGCAATTATAGTAGTAATTGGGATTTGTTTACTGCTCTTCTTGTCAATTTGATTGTATTGTATGAAATTTTTGGTTTGTGGTTTATTTTCTTTCTGGGTGTGGTGGACTACACGTTGATTTTTCTTTGCACATAGCATTATTATTTGTATGATCCACCCTCAACATAAAAAAGTGATGTTATATAAATAGAATTTGTATACATAATGTCATGGTAAGAATAGTATTTTTCAACATAAAATAAAGGAAGATTGTTGATGCACGGAACATGGCTTAGGAAATTACTTTGTTTTCTTTGTAATAATGTTTTAAGCAGTGCCAACTTTTCTTAGCACCAAAGGCACTCACACGGATGAGAGGTTGGGGGTTTAACTTTCGCTAGGCTAGATTGTGGAGTAATGCTAGTGACCCCAAATATTCTACTAAAAGTTTTACCAAATGTCTCACATGGATGTAGGATCCACACAATGTGGGTCCTATGTGAGTCCTACACCCATGTGAGACATTTGGTAAAATTTTTAGTAGAATTTTTGGAACTTCTAGCATTTTTGTAGATTGTGTGGCCGTGTATAGCTTATTTCTGTATAAATTGTCACACGTTGCAATTGCTGCGTAGCAGTTTTCCTTCTACACACCCTTAGAATTAGGTTAGAAATATAAACTGTATTTGGAACCAAAAAAAATAATAATAATAAAATCCATTGAAATAAGATATGAAGCAGCAACTGTTTCTTTGCTTTTGGTGGTTGTCATAAGCAACCTGAAAATGATTGGTTTAGTTTCTTTATTCTACTGAAACTTTGCATGGCTTTGATTGATGAGGAAAAAAGGAAAAACAGAATTTCATGATGGCAACAGGTTGGGTTTTTTGAATTTTACATGTGAATTCTTGGTTTTAAATTTATTTCTTTCAGTGATATAAATTTAAATTTTATTTTAATCTTGGCAACTTTTGACTTACCTACCTCTATATTCGAACCTAATCCTATCAATGCTCTCTGAAAGAATTTCCATTAAAATTGTGTTTTGGTTAAATACAATCGAATTGGGTAATTTTGTTGTCATCCCAATAGTGGAGGTTTCAATCTTTGGACGAGTAGAATACGATTCTTCAAACAATATTTTGCCAAAATGTGAAATATGATGATTCTTGCAAATATTTGTTTTTCTTGGAGGAGGAAAAAATGCAAAAAATTTAAGCAAATGGATGAATTTCAAGGATGGTGGATAATTTCCAACTTGCACCAAATTCTCATTTTTGGAATTTCACATTATTGTAGTTTTGTGGGAATGGACTATTTTGCTTGTAATGTTGCAAATTGTTCTCACCACCACTGGGTTGGAATCATAGTTGTCAATCTTGTAACGGAATACAAATAGGCTAATACTGTTATAGTTAATTTCTCGGTGAATACTAGTGAATTTTATAAATACCGGACAATATGGGCAAGAGAATGAACAGGTGCAGAATAACAGAATTGAGCCAAAGGCTGCTCCCCAAGTACACCACCGAACACAGCAAGCATCTGGGCACAGGCAAAGCATCACACACATCACTAGCCTTGTCTTGCTTCCAAAATAAACTAGAATCAAATGTAGCAGTAACCAAAAGAGATGGCAGCAGCCCCAAGATATCCCAGCAAAACAGTGATAAAATATGGGTTGGATTTGGGTTGGGTTTGAAATGATGTGTTAGAGAGGTGATGTGACTTAAATAAGATGATGCGACTTAAATAGGATAGTGACTTTTTAACTTTTTGACTTTTTTGAAACTTGCCAAACCAGCCCTAACTGTACACAGCCCAAAATAGGGGTAGCTGATATAAAGATAAAAATAAAGACAATGGATTTTCCATTTGAAGTTTCCCACTTGGATTGTTCTTCTTCTTTTATATAAAAGGCATCTTCTTAAAAATTTTATTTTAAAATAAAAAGTTCACATTAGATCATATTATTCTGTATAAAGTTTTCAAATAAAATTTCTATTGGTATATTATCGTTCATTGTAGATTGAGCTGTTTTCACTCAAAGCCAAGCCTCCAGCCTATATCCCACCATTGATTCTTTATTGAGTGCAAACACAAACACATGCCCAAACATAATGAAATATTCACAATAGTTTTCTCTTGTACATTAAAACTTCAATGTGATTCTGTTACTTTCTTTATTCTCTTTTGTAGTGAATTCTCTCACCAAATCAACTCTGTTATGCAAAACTTGAGAGTAATGATTTGATTATCCGAGAACACCACATCAATTTTAATTTCAAACTATTCATGATTGATCATTTAAAAAAATAAAAATATACCCAAGTACTCACTCTTTTGTCAAAAAAGTAAAAAAAGACTACAAAATATTTGTAGTAGAGTGGCTCAAAATCTGTGAAGTGTTCAGTTGATCGAAAGTGAGACCCAACCAAACTTTTATGAAATACATTAAGCCAATGGAGTGCACCCACATAGAAAAAAAGGAGGAAAACAAGTCGGTAGCAATTCAATGTGGGACAAGGCTCATAAGGAAGCTAGCTTCTTAGTTTGAAATTTCCATGTACACCCAACATACACTAACACTTCCACTAGAGATATTTTGTATCCTACTTTTTTTTATGCGGTCGAAATTGACGTGGTGGTTTAGAAAACTAAAAAATTTTTTCAAAAATTGAATACTTAGGTTGTGTTTGGAGATTTGGATAAGGATATGTGAAAAGAAAGGAAATGTTGAGAAAAATGTGAATGAAATATAATTTAATTGTAATTCACATTTCCCTTCGCTTTTCTTTACTCTCCGCGTATTCATATCTAAATTCATGATCCAAACATAGTGTTATGGACAGCTAATGGAAGACACATCATGGATGAACAAAATTTGATTATTTTATGTTGTGTTTGGTTGGGGAATTTGAGGAGAGATTTGCAAAAAGAAATGAAAAAGATAGCTGAAATGTGAATAAAATATACCTACATTTCATTTAGTTTCACACACATTTTCTCTTTTCCTTTCTAAATCCTTCCCCAAATCCTCTAACCAAACACAGCGTTCAGTAATTACACTTCAATGGTAGACCCCGACAGAATCTTATTGTACTTTCAAGGGAAAAAAAGGAAAAAGAAAATAAAAGTAACAGATCCTCTAACGTTATAACTAATCTGTTGAAGCAAAAGAGAACATAGAGATTTTGTATATAAGTTGAAGTAGTTACCTCTTTAGCAGTTGAGAAGGAAGTGAGGTCTTAAAGGAATTCTTTTTAACATAAAAAAGAAGTCCCCAAGAGAGCTTACATTGAGCAATGGCAGGGTATATATGGTTATATATGTTAGAAATGGTTTTGGAAAAATAGTTTTTTCCTCAACTTTGGTTTATTTTTTAGGTGGGATCCATGTGCCAAAGTTGGTGGGTTTAAGTGGTAACGCGTTTTATGCTGTGTTGTGATTCACATAGTATATTTGCTTGCTCAAAACCATTATCAGGTGAATGGAAAATTGAAACCAAAATAAGCTTTATGGAAATGGAGTTTTTGGTGGAAATTCCTTAAGGTTTGAATTAAAGGCTTGTCTCACATTGGTTTAGTGGGAAAAATTTTATGGGTTTATAAGGCTTGAGTTTGCAACTTGGGAAGGGCCCCAAAGGGCACCCCAAGTTTGTAGAAATGAGAGGTTATGGGCAAAGTGGACTAGACCCATTGGACCCAAAATAAACACACGAGCGCTGTCGTCGCCGTCGCCGCCGCCGCCGTCGTCCGACTGGACTGGGCTTGGGCGCGGGTGCGTGGTGTGAGGTTGGGTTGGGTTGGGCTTGTCTGGCCCAATACTTATCTTTTTGGGGCAAGAAACATTTGAATTTATTTTTATATTTTATTTTTGGAAAATAAATTATGACCGTTTGAATTTAAATTCCAACTTAAATTTCAAACCCAAACAGAACCTTCCTGTATAGTCCCATATTTATCCGAATAGATTGAATCTGTTCAAACAGGACCGAACAAGTTCTATACTTGTTTAATTCAAATCTGAACGGCTACATTTTCTCCTATAAATAGACAGACCCTCTATTGATTTTTGTCATTCAGAAATTTCGTTCTTCTCTGCTGATTCAATCTCTGCATTTTGTTGCATTAATTTTTCTGTGAGAAAAAGTGTTAACACAAAGTGTGTTTATTGTACAAAGAGTTTGTAGTGCTGCTACTGTTTGTTGTTGATTATTTTATCTTGGGAGGTAGACGTCAATAATTTGAAAGCACTGTGGAGAGGACGAATATGTCTTGAGGACATAGTGTTAAACATTAGATTTGATCAGGATTTTGTTCAATAAATACATAAGGTTAGTAACTAATTTACTTTCTGTTTTATTTATTTATTTTTATCAAATTCTGATTTATTTTTGTAACAAAATAAGAATCTATTGTTTTATATTATTTTCTTTACTGATTTGATTTTTGTAATCAAACAGTCTCTCTCATTTCTTTATTTCTTCTGTTTGTTGTTAACTATACAAACATTATTTATTCTTAATACAGTAAAGATTGTCCAACAATCTTAAGACAAATTATTTTTTGGTGTCTTCATTGTATTTATTTTCTGTGATTTTATAAAGTGATATTCTGGTTGCAAAATACAAATAGTAGTCATATACTGTTTGACAAATAGTAGTAATATACTGTTTATTTTCTTTGACAACTAGTAGTAATATATTGGTGTCATTAACAAGTTCAGAATATTAATTTGTGTAATAGTGTTATAAAAAATTATTGTGTAGTAATTTATTTTCCTGGTTTTAGTAACTTGAAAAATAAAATTATTTTGTGTTATAATTTATTTTCTGGTTAGAGTAATTAGAAAATTAATTTGTGTTTGGGTTTTCTGATTTTTGTAATAAGATATTATGGTTGCTGAAAGTAGTACTCCAAATCTAATTGTTACAACGACTCCGGTCCCTATCCAGAACCATGTTCAAGTTCCAATAAATCATGGAGAAAAATCGAAAAAATTTAACGGTGCAGCGTTTAAGAGATGGCAGCAGAAAATGTTGTTTTATCTTACGACTCTAAATCTG